GAGTTGAATTTATATATATATTATTAAATATAAACTGATGGAAAATGAACTCAGGCCTCATTTCCTATCCCCTGTCAACTTCAGATGACACTTTAAAATTAATGAAAAGGAAACAATGCTGTACTGATTTTAAAATAAAAGAAAAGGTATAAACAATCCCTGTACGTTATTTTCTGTCCGCGTGTTTGTGTATAATCACATCGCAAGTAAACGAAACCGAAAGTCCAGACTAGTTCAGAGAAACATTTTAACGGCTATCAAGGAAACGGCCGGGCCTCGATCGTTGCGATATCAGACGTAACTTCTTGGCGTGTCTAATGAGTCATCATTGGAGACCGGACTCGGCCTCCGCGTGGAAGATTACAACGTAACGAATGACGTATTGCATCTCGTTAGCATCGATCGAGCGATACGTTATCGCACGCCGCTCAACCAGTGCCGGCTGGTGACGGCGCAAGATATTACCATTCGAATAAAACATGCAGTGTACGCGAAACGGAAAAGCAATCGTCACTGTGGAGTACGTCAGTAGGTGTGACGCAAATCACGGTGCTTAACAATGACTCTGATGAAATCAGGGATTTTTCACTAATAACGAGAACTGCAGCGGGCCCACAACTGAGTGAAAACTTTCCGAGGAAAAAATCTGATGGGACACTGACTAAGTGCAGTAATTTATACAGTATTCGCCAGTCATATCCGCAATAGTTTACCGTAACAACGATGCGGTACATTATTTTACTTTGTCATATTATTTCGAATAACCCACCACTAAGTTCGAACAATAAATAATGTTTCCAATGTCGAAAAAGGGAAATTTACCTCTACCTTGCAACCTGGTAAGAAACGTTTGATAGCTGACCTGCAATAATGGTAGCTAGTGTAGCTCCTACGTCATTAATCGTTCCAAAAGTGAATGTTAGAGTTACCTAAATAACATTAATCAAAATATTATCCTCAATTTGAAAACACAGGAAATTTTACATAAGAATGTTTGAGAAAATTTAAGTGAGAGTTACCTTACGAGTCTTCAGTTATATATTTTTTTTTATTTTGTCTTCAAACCAAATGTTTTTTTCTTAGGTACGTTTCATCACCATCATCACCATTTCAGCCTGTTTGAATCCACTGCTGAACATAGGCCTCACCCACAGACTGCCACGAAGCAGCACGATCCTGAGCCCCCTGCATCCTTCGTCTTCCTGCGCACTTGCACAGGTCGTCACTCCATCTGGTGGGGGAACGTCCCACACTGCGATGACCAGTTCGAGGCTGCCACTCAAGAACCTTTCTTCCCCAGCGGTTAACCCGTTGAGAAACACGTTGAGGTCATTGAGCATAGTACCAAGGTCCTCCAGCGATTCTGCCATGATTACTATGTCGTCGGCAAATCGAAGGTGGGTGATGTATACGCCATTGATGTTAATACCTCGTTTTTCCAGTCCAGAAGCTTGAAAACATCTTCCAACGCAGCGGTGAAGAGTTTCGGGGATATGACATCACCTTGTCTTAAACCCTTGTTCTGCAGTTGGATAGGTTTTGTACTACTGGACTGTACTTGGACGGACATCGTATTGTTATTTAAACATCTCAGCACCTCGATAAACCGACAGTTTACGGTGGTAGGGCCACGCAGCAGCCTCGGCTGTTGCACGGATGGCTCGCCCAGGTAAGTACCACGACCTCACAGAAGACCGGCGTAAAGTGGAAGTATAATACTTTCGCGTTTCGTCTGGTGAGTGAAGTGGCCGGAGCATCTACATCCCTCGGGTGTAGCAGATGTCTATGGGCGGCAGTATTCACTTAACATCAGGTGAACCGTCTGCTCGCCTTACAACTTTTCACATAAAAAAAGTCAATTTGGCACCGCTGAATGGCCTGGAGTACGACCCAAATTTCGACGGAATCAAAGGCTTTCTCATAGTCCACACACGCTAGGCACAAAGGCAGATTATACTCTTCGGTTTTTCTGTATAATCTGCCGTAAGGTATGTATGTGATCTATGGTACTGAAGCCTTTTCGGAATCCGGCTCGTTCGGGAGGCTGGAACTTCTCAAATCTGGAAGCGAGGTGATTCAAGATGACTCTTGAAAACAACACATAGCCGCGGCTCAGAAGTGATGTCGGTCTACAGTTCTTGAAGAACAGCACCACAACGCTTCTGCTCCATGCCTTTGGTGTAGCACCATCCTGAAGGACGGAATTAAAGGGCCTCTGAAAGACCACAAGTACCAGTTATCCACCCGCTTGCAGAAGCTCTGTAATTCCGTCCTCTCCTGATGCTTTGCCATTCTTAAGATGGTCAAGAGCCATTTTACGTCCGGGATATTCTCGATATAGTGTCGGATAAGCTTTGCTCTTGGGTCGTTACTCACACATGTGTGTGGCTCCAACGACGATGTGTACAGTTGTTCATAGAACCTCTCAATCTCACTCAAAACCTCCAGTCTACTGGAGATGATAGTGCCACTGTCAGTCTTCAACTTAGTTGGATTTGTCGAATAGATAGATCTCTGGCGAAGACTTTTTAGCCTAGGTTCCGATCTATAGCTCCCTCAATACTGAATTGAACTCATACTGTATTGAAGTTACGTAAGTCTCGCCGCATATATTTGGAGATCTTCCTATCAAGCCGCCTGTACTCTGACTATCTATCTGATGCTGATGTGTCTAGTTTCAGACTGCAGCCGCATCACACGACTTTTTCCCAAGAGATTGAGAGTGTGATCCGAGTTTTTGGGTTCTATTTGTGCGGTGGGCCTTATAAGCTTAAGGCCCACGGCATGGATAGTTTTCACGAGCTTAGCGTTAATATCGTCCACCATTCTGCAATTTTATAGGCATTGGAAGTGATTGTGTAGCTCGAGCTGAAAGCATTCCGAGTTCTGAATATGGGCCCGAGATCGTCGGAGTGTAGACTTCATCAGACGAGATCTTTCCAGCCTAATGTTAATATTCAATGTACCTCTGACCATCGGTGATCACTGCCGGTCTTTACCCTTGTGATCCCAGAGACATCATTGAATATTTGCTGTTTATTCGTCATAATGAAGTCTATCTCGTTTTTTACAAAACCATCGGGGCTAATCCAGGGCCACTTTTTGTGGGGCTGCTTTTCGAAGAATGAGTTCATCATAAAGAGTCCCTGCTTCTCCATAAAGCCAGCTGCTGCCGCCTTGGATTCCATTGCCCTACTCCAAAACTACCTACTCTCAGCTCATCATCTTCCCTTTTGTTTAGTTTTGCGTTGAAGTCTCCCATTAACACCATGTACTGAGTTTTGGATGAATGTGTGGCTCGTGATATATCCTCATACATTGCCTCCGCCTCACCATCAGGTTGTATTGACGTTGGTGCGTAAGCCTGTATGACCGTCTGCGAATACCGTTTGGATATTCTGAGTATAAGGTATGCAGCCCTCGACGCCACAACCTCGATTTTAACAACGTTGTTAATGAGAGACTTGTCGACGATAAATCCCTTCATACACATCTACTTGGGATAGTTGGTCGCCCTCCCGGTGGTAAAACAAGTTGCCGGATTCGACGATTATCGTGTCCTCCCCTGTCTTCGGACTTCAGATAATCCTATTATATCCCATCGCAGCCTGTTCACCTCTTCTTCCAGTTCTGTAATCTTCTTATCCGCCCTCAATGTTTTTGCGTTGTATGTTGCCAGGTCCAGTCACCGTCGTTGGGAGATTCTTAGCACCCCCTGCCCTGCCGTTACCATGACCGCTACTATATCCAGGGATAGCAGGTCCACCGGAGACTGGGGTCCGCACATTTTGGATTTCAATCATGAGGTTTTGCCATAGTTGTCACGCCTGGCGAACGGGTTGGCAACCGCAGTTCCTCCAAACACCAAGATGTTTTTGGCTAGTCCCTTAGTCGCCTCTTACGACACCCCCGTGATGAGATAGGGTGGCTTATTTTTACGCCAGCACCACACGGCAGGTTACGTTTATGGTACCTTTATGAATCTTTTTTTCACTTTAAGGCTGTTCAAAATGTGAAGCTTTATTAGAAGCCGACACTGAAGCAATTTTAATGGTTCAATTTAGAATTTCCTTTGCTTTTTTTTTACCATACCCTAGTGGGTACCGTCAGCGCTTCATCGGGTTCTCGTATCAAGATTAAGCACATAATTTTAATAGCTATGAAATAACGTTTGTGAGAAAACTAAGATTGGTTGTAAATTTTATTATATTATATTTTTTGATATCTAAGATCAGCTAAGCTAAATCAATTCACGTCATACTTGAATAATAATATTTCGTATATTAATAAAATATAATATTTCAATCTGTTTTTAGAAAAATAAAATTAAATAAAGGGTGGGAATATCCGACTTTGTGCACACATCGTAGTTGGATTTTTCCAAAAAATACGATTCTTATAACTGGTGAAAGTCAAGTTCAGCCATCAGAAATTCCACATAACGTGAAAAAGCCCGGGTAAATCCGAAGTGGTGGCAACCCTGATCTTGTTGTTGATGAATCTGACTCAATTGTATTTAATATTTATGTTGCAACGCTATTTGTTTTATAAAGGCCCATTTAAAAGAAATAAACATAGGTATAAGTTTCAAATTTTTCTCATCTGATTCAAATTTCAGAAAAAAGGGAGCTCTCCCAAATACTCTTTACAATATAATCAGGGATGTGTTAATTTAGAATTGAATGGAATAATATAGAATATCAGATTTTATTAAAATCTACGCACATATGACTATCAATAAGGTAAAACTAACGCTATAAAAACGCACAATTATCACCAGAAATGCCTACTAAAAACAGGGAAAAAAATCTCGAGGAATCCATTAAAGGAGAAATCTCACTTGGGGGTATCCATGATGGTATGTACGAAACAAACATAAATGCACTATTAAACAAGATATAACAGCATAATTTCGTTTGATTTGACATGCCGAAACAATTTAATCATTATCTCTGTCGGAAAATTAGCGTTGGTCTGGTAGCGGGCGAATTTGTATTTTATGTCGACGTGCGAAGGGTGCGGAATTGGGCGGATGTTGTTGGGGCTTTAAGCTCTATCGGTCCGGGGCACGTGTAGCGAAGGAATTGGCGGTATTCGCTAGGGGCCGCTGCGGAGCGGCATAGCAGCCAGCGGACTGGGTGGGCACGCGGCGTCGGTCGGCCCTTTCCCTCGCTTTTTGTTCTCCGTTTTCGAATTTCAAATTTTGCGCTCGGCGATGGCCTTTGGCTCGCGTGCGACCGCTTTGTTTTCGTTACCGCACCACGTTCTCGGTCCCGCTCCCGTCGGATGTTCTAACATTCAGAGAGGATGCGTTTCTTCCAGGTTATATAGAAAGGCCCGACTTTTGAGATTGCTATTATCTTAATCGGTTATTCCATATACCGAGCTTTTGATAGCTGTTGGCTCATGAAAATTAACAGCAGAATGTCGCCGGAAAGAGGTGCGAACGTCGGCCCTGACAGTCGTCGAATGTACGTGGGACGGTGAGAACTGCCCTGGAACGTTGTCCGTCGATTAAATCCTCAAACAGCTCCGGTGGCATGCGACCCCAGCATGTTTAAGAGACACGAAAATGAAATGTTTAAGAACCGTTTGCTAATTAAATCATTTCCCTTGCATTTTTTGCGCAACACGATAATATAAAGATTATATCGCCAGTGCTAATTGGCAAGTAAAGTCGACGAAAGGGGTGTACAATTATAACATTACTCGCACAACGTTAAATTGCACCGTAATTAGCCCGAAAATAATTAAAATCGAAGGTCATTACTTGAGTAAAAAGTTGACCGGGCGGTGTAAGCTTTTGTGCCGTATTGTCGAATTCGTTATGACGGAGACGTGGAAAAATAATGGCCAGTTAACAATTTTTCGTACTTTTTAGTTAAATACGCTGCGCTTTATTCGACGCTTGGTTCATTTGCTTTTTCATAAGAACTCTTAAGTTAAAATTAGAAAATCTCAATAAATAATTTGATGCTATTGTAGCCAGCTTTCCTAAAAATAACTGATTTTCTATGGTAAAAGCAAGAACACCTTTATCAGAATGTCTACGTACACACTTGCATACTAAACACCGTCATTAAGGAACCAAGATTTGAGAGATCATATAAAATTGAACCACCTCTATCAAAACTAGTTATATCGAATTCAATTTAACCATATTTTTCGAGTAGCTTGTAGTGGTAGAAAAACAGCACTATGCACGCACATGGTGATAGAATACAAAATTTGGAAATTCGTCTTCACCTACGAGCACGCCGAAACCAACACAATGCGTACATAAGGAATATCCGCGTTCTAGGGCGTTCCACAAGGTACACCGTCAGCCATCGATTAATTGTACAGTCTACGGCCATCAAATTTTTGGATTCCGGGTAGCCTTGAATCCCTCGGCGCTAAAAGTGTTTATCCATTTATCTATAAAATTCATATTTTAAGCACGCTTTATGATACACGAACCACAAGAATTCTGTTTGACTGCTGGTATTGATTGCTTTTTACGGTGGTAGGGCTATGCAGCAGCCTCGGCTGTTACACGAATGGGCAGGCCCATCCGGGTAAGTACCACGACCTCACAGAAGACCAGCTTAAAGTGGAAATATGACAAATAATTTCGCGTTTCGTTTGGTGAGTGAGGTAGCTGGAGCCCAATTTTCAAAAGGTTGTCAACGCATCTGTAACCCTCGGGTGTGGCAGATGCCCATGGGCGGCGGTATTCACTTAACATCAGGTGAACCGTCTGCTCGTTTGACAACTTTTCACATTAAAAAAAACTTGCTCAGTGGTCTAGAAAAATGGTGAGTGGACCTTAATAAAGAAAGGCTCAGAAAGAACATTTCCTTATTTTTGTCATTGCGAAAAGTAAATAAATGGATCAATTTAAATATATTTACTCAAAATTCTAAATCTGACGGCGGCATTATCTATAAAAAGGATTAGGGAACGCGCTAAACATTTATCCAACTATTTGAACGTTAATGGTTAAAAATACAACACTCGTATTTAAAGCACATTTATTAGTTTTAGATGAATTATTTGTAACTTTTCCGCAAAAATCTAAATAATGTTCGAATTGAGAAAAACGCAAAACCGAAAGCGAAGAACCGTGCGGCGTAAGCTATTATTCCTTTCAAAAAAAAAAATTGAGAATATGAACTGTATAATTCAAGGCCATCATTAAAGCCCGTGATGATTTAATCCACACGAACAGATCACTAGCACAAAAAAAAGTTTTGGCCTTTAAAATAACGCAATGTAATTCATCTGCATGAATCTGGATTCCGAAATCGTACTAATTATGAGATTATGGTAAGGATTCATTCTAGGGAGATCTGTATTATATGAAGCGGTTTTTAACAACATTTCTAAAACATTCGCAGAATCGAAACAATTCATTATAGTTTAATCTCGTGTAAGTAATCTAGGAAAGTATACCGGACAGACAAATAAACATTCATTCGATATATTAGCAGATAAGGAAACAACTCGAAAAATGCTTTCAAGTTTACATAAGTAACAAACTGCCTACTTATTTTCACAAAAAAATTGTTTTATTAAATAAATAACTTATTTTGCTTCGTTAATTAAACTAATATGAGGTGCTCCGAGCAATGTTAGCTCTTCCTGACCCACCTCTTTGAACTAAAAGTTAATTAATAACTGCTTTGTACATATTTTTACTTTCTATTGCAATAGTGCACATGGTGATCTGATATCTGCTTCATAGTCACTTCATAGATTTTCGTAAATTTATCAATAAAATCGATACCTGGATCCCTTGTATAGAATCTTCTCGCCGATGACACCATTCGTTCAACATGATTGCCAATCCCAGTTTCCCTTCCTCACCCTCCTAACCAGTAAAACGGTATACACTCCCCTCGATAACAATTTACAACACATGATACTTTACCATGACCCCGCGTATATAAAATAATTTCTTCAAAAATAGACTAGCGAAAAATATTTTCAAAAACCAATTCGAAATTTCACACTAACACAAAGTGATGTGGATGTGAATGCACTAAAGTCAACGTCAAATGTCACAAATCTAAGGAGGTGCGATCCCATAGATAATCTAGGGGGTCAGACATTTAAAAAATGTTCTCGTATTTATGACGCGGTTATTTTTTTATTATGTTTTTTATGTTGTCCGCCTCCCGACATCTATGTTGGATTTTACGGACATAAACAGATTCAGGTTCAGTCATGTTTGATTATATTGTAAATGATGTTTTCCTCATTTGCATTTTTCTATTATTCATTAATTTATTTATTCAAACGCCGAAATTAGAGAAAACTATCTCGTTTTCTCTAATTTCATCCAGGCATCGGAAATATAAAACTCAATTAATTTTGGTAAAACGTTACAATGCACGTTACTTAACTTAATTTATTAAAAAGCAGTTTAGTGTGAGAATAGTAGCTGTTGCCTTTTACATAGAAGGGAAGCTAGAATTATAAACAGGGTCGGAAATATAGGGATTCTAATGTTATCTATACTAATATAGTCATACTAATAAAATTATAATAAATAATATTTATTTTATAAATGCAATTTATATATATATATATATATATATATATATATAATCTCAGAACTGTTCGTAACTAATTAATCCATTAATCAAATCAAAAACTTTGTTTTTAATTTTACACTATACACGAGTAAAACAAAGATAAAATCGTATAATGAATAATATCAATGAGAGCCCGCAAAGTGAAATAAAATTTTGCATACCTTAATTTTATTGTTGAAGTGATGTCACGTGAATCTGCAAACAATAAAAAAGAAATTAGTTACGGTTACAATATGGCGTTGGACTCGCAATTTTGCAATTTGGACGAGCTGAAACTCAGACAACCTTTTATGATTTGAAAATTGTTTTTGCGGCCAACACTAGTGATTAGTCTGCGTTAGATAATTTAGTATTTAGGATCGATGTTTCGTCCGAGGCCGGGAGCAATGGTATTCGTGACCTAGATCTTTTTAAAAGCACTACCACTGTTAGCGGGTCTCCTTCATAAGGTCGCTGACGCGGGATTTTTTACAGGTACCTTTATTATTTTGAACGCAATTAGGGTCATATTCGATTGGATGCACCTCGAACGACTTGGTCCCGAGGTATTGGCGCATGGCGGTAAAATTACAACCTGTCATATTTTGGACACGATCATGAAGAGCACAAGAGAAGGTCATGAGAATAATTGCTCTTAAAAGTCTGCAATGGTATCCCTCGGCTACCAGCTTACAGTCCCTATAAGATTTAAACGATTTGTATTTAAGTAGGTTACATATTTACATGAACAAGTTGCATGAAAACTATGTTACAATTCAAGACTATCATTTCTATCTAGATTATTTGTATTTGTAGTAAGGTTTCGATTGTCTTCAATAGTTTTTAGAAGTCGTTGCTTCTATTAAAACGTGTAATTACGAAATCAAATAAACTGACCTCGTTTTGAAATTATTTATGCGTCTTCCAGACAATAAAGTAGCGAAGGAATTAATTATTGTCATTAAAGTTACTTAGGGAAACTTTGGCCGACTAAATACCTACTTCCTGTTTGCTATTCCGGAAACTATCCGTTACGATGTATAAGTAAGTTATATATTAATGGTAGGTATTAATTCCCCTACGTTCGATTATTTAAATTACATTTGAAATGCACTAAGATTAAAATATACAATAAACTTATAAGAACATGAACGAATCCAAGTGAAAGAGCTTGTACAGTACATTACTTTGTTAATTTATAGTACTTATGAAAACGCATTTACTGCTGTAAAGCATTTCTAAGCTATTTTAAACCGCCCGCCAGTATCTCTGCAGACGACATTTCTCAGTTTTTTTTTTAATTTAATGGTCAGTTTAGTCACAGGTAACCATGGTCCTGGACATTTTTGCCTAATTGTAATTGTAACTTACACTCATTTGTTACATATTTGTGTACTTTGTAAGATTATTATTATAGTTCTATTAAAAAAATATTAATAGGTTGGCATTTTCTTATTATACATATCATATAATGCTTCTAACACAAATTCTCCATAATATCCTCATTTACCTTTGCAGGTTAATATTGTGTGAAAAAAACATTGGCAGGCTAAAATTATCAACTGCCCTAAAATTCTCAGGGCGAATACATTATACATAAGTTATATACAAGCATTTTTGACAGTATGTATATATATATATATATATATATATATATATATATATGTATATATAGTGCTTTGTTTAAGGCAGAAAAATACGAGAGCATAAATAAAATTTAATATCTAACATGTTTGTAAGCACTCGTCTTTATAACTGTTTTGCGTTACCAGTTTCAGCTATTGGAAAAGCTATTTAGTTTGTTTTCAAATCTCTTTAAGTATATAATATACTAATGACTTTGCCTCGTGATATGTTTTTTCATCATTAAATTATTCGAAATGTCGACATCTCAATACGTCATATTAGAGGTAAGATTTGCCAGATGCTGTTACTGTATGATAATATGCGATGTGTTTTTAGCGGTATTTGTTTACGTCAATTACATCCGTACACCCCGTTTCATATTACAATTACGTCTGTGCCTTCCGCTTCAATTCATTGTGGTATCACGATGTTGTGTGGCAACTGATTTGCACAAAATTATGGGTGTACAGCGAGTCGCGCAATGGCGTCCATCTTTCCTGTCAAATGCACTCGGTTTATTATCTGTGTCATTATTACATCGTGCTTTAAGCGTCACATTCTCTAAAACCCGTGTCTGTTTTCACCAATTTGCCTATGTATTAAAGAAACCTTTGTAAATTTTCGTATCCTTTTCTGTTAGTAAACATTCGTGCGATCTTTCTGAATGTTCAAATCCGGTTATGGCGAGTTGGGGAGTTACTATTTATAAAATTGCTATCAGATACACACATTAAATATTTTGACAGGTTTCGTTTTAAAAAAGAACAGTATTGATCTGTTAAATAAGATTGACCTTGTCAAAACAATATTACGAATCGATTTTATTGACAAGGAACCTCCAACGCCCACATGTTTTGAAATAACATACAATAACAGTATCGTAGAAGCAGGATATCCGTTGTCTGTTTCGTAATTAGAACGGCAATGGGCATTTGGCCGGGCCGTCCGGGCCCAGTGTTGGCTTTCTAGTTACATCTCAACCAACGGTGGCGCAGCCCTCTTACGGAACATGTCTGGGGAGTCAGTCTGCACGCGCATTTCGCCGTTGCCGCTTCCTATTCCGGCTATTGTTGAGCGTCCTGTCACAAATATGCATGCGTGTACGCACACACGCATATAAATGGTGGAAATTGAGGTGCTGCATACGCTTACGGCCCACGCACACATAGAGGGCGCCGTCACCGCTTTCGATACAAGCGCGCCGTATATGTACGGTCATAACACGCGCGGAGCCATCAATGAACTTGACGTATCGCTCAATGAACGGAGACCTTGAGTGAGGTTGTTTCTCGAGTGTTCTATGTCGACGATAGAGCAACGAACTCTCGAGACGCGCTCATTTCGCCCGTTGAAGTTTGTCGATACTAATTAATTGAAAAAAAAAAAAAGTAAAATAAAAAGTTCAAAGAATGACTCACGTTATTGTGAGATGGGAAGAGCGAGCGCGTTCATTGAATCAGCATCTAGATGCGTAACCTAGAAACGATTTCGACACTCGCCTGCCAAAAATCTCAACGTGGCGCCCGAGTACAAGGTTGTCGTGCGCGTACCTCAGAAATAACCGTGATTCGGAAATGACGCAACGTTTCAACCACTAGTTCCTTTTGACGGTTCCGCGACACAATCCGTGAGGTTTGCCCCGCGTACTTTCGTAGTTTGAACAGTACGTAATTCAGCTAACAGTTATATACTAGCGCTAACTCCTTATTAAGGTATGTCAATAAGCTATGTTTACATATTCTTTTAGACAGTGATGTCAATGGAGCATGCTCATACGTAGTCTAATGGTAACAAACGGTAACAGCGTCGCACCAGACATTTTCACACAAGTGTTAAACAATTCAAGTCATCCGAACCCACTTCAAACCAGAAAAATACGGGCCTCTGAACAAAATGCCTCCAATATTAATATTGAGCAATCTTTAACTAATTCAAATACTTTAATTCATTAATTCGATGCAATCTTTAATTAAATCTATCTTTGATATTAATTTTGCCTTCTGATTAATTTTATTTTATTTAATATTCATATAATATCCAAGTATAAAAAGTCATTTATTCACAATTATGTTTTTGGGTCCAAACTTTTCTACTATAGCAGGATCACGCAAACGATTTTGCTGTTGCAGGAATTGCCAGGCTTGTCCATAAAAGAAAATCACTTTGAGTCGTAGAACTTTTGTACTTTTGCATTCCGTCTCGTGAGTGATTTGAATGCCCCACTATTTTACAACTTTTTTAATACACTACAAGTGTTTTTCTATTAGGTGTTGTCGATATTCATGAGTGGCAGTAATCTAAGTGATGCTGCCGTCAGGTGAACCATCTGGTAACATCCCAGCTTTCACTTAAAAAAACAAGCGGTCCGTATGACTGACGAAATAGTGGTGAAATAAATTATGAACGTGACTTTGCCCAACGGTAACACATATGAAGGAATATTTTATGGCCTTCGATGTTTCAGATATAGATCAATTTGCGTTTGGCAAATCGCGATGTATGATGTCAGCAGCCGTAGTCAGCCCCGTATTTTTGGAGTTTTACAATTTGCAAGTTGGAGGTCTAAGACATCGAACAGAGCCAAGAAAATGGCCAGCGACCATGAGGATTTTAGTGCGGGAGGCACATAAACCAG